CTGCTGCCGCTACTGCTGCCGCTACTACGGCTGCGACTTCGACTACGACTATGACAATTATTATTATTATCGTTATTAGCATTATCATTATGCTTATTATAATCATTAGTATTACCATTATTATTACCATTGTCATTATCATTATGATTACAGTTATTATTATCATATTTGTTATCCTTATTCTTATCCTGATTATTACCATTATTATTAATATTATTTTCATTATTATCATTATTATTATCATGAGCATTATCATTATTAGTATCATTACTATTATCATTGTTATCACTATGACTACTAGTCTTGTTATAATTCGTATGATCAATGTCGCTTATCGTGGTTATCATGATTTTGATTATGGTTATGACTCATGACTATCATTAAACCCTAAACCCTAAACCGAGCACGAGCCGAGGATCAGCCGCTCCTTCCCGCCGTCGCCAAGCTCTTTGCTGCCCGGGGCAAGGTGGCTCTGACTCTGCTGAAAGGAATCCCGAAACTGCAAAGCCTGAACACACACCTTAACGTGTCTTTCGAAAACCTCGAAGCCCGCCTAAAGCCGTAAACCCTAAGCCCTACAACCCCAAGCCCCTAAACCCTAAGACGTATTCCATACTGCATCCCAAAGCCCTGTTCTGTTTTGCAAATTAAGCCCTTACCCACTATAGAACCCTTATAGTAGCAGTGTCCCTTCGAAGGTATTCCTTCAAGTTTCCGTTTTGTGCGATCCTTACAGTATCCCTTCGGGCATCCCTTTTGATTGTGGTACTCGTAGCCTTCTAGTATCCCTTCAAGGAGCCCTTAAAAGGGCCCCCGTAATGGAGCCCTTAAAGGAACCTGCAGGAACCCTTATCTTGCATCCCTTCGGGGGATCACTGTTTTGCGACCCTGAACGCCTGCTCAGAAAGGCGCTCACGGCGTGGCCAAAGCGCTTGGCTTTCAACGAGGCGCTCCAGGCGCCCCGGGAGAGGATGGTTCAGGGGTTGAGGGTTGGGTGTAGGATTTGGGGGTTAGGGTTCAGGGCTTGAGGTTTAGGGGTCAGGGTTTAGGGTCTAGCGTTTAGGGCTTAGCGCTTCGTTTCAGAGCTTCTGCGCCTCGAGAAGGTCAGGAAATAGCCCCAAAGCTCGATTCTGGTAGGGTTTAGGAAGCTTAGGGGTTTAGTTCATGATTTAGGCCTAGGGGTCTTGGCATCTTTCGCAGTTCACCACCATCACTAAACACCCAGAAGGTTTGTCATTTCATCTTTGTCTAGTTCATCGGTAAGCCAGCATTCAGCCTCCCCGGAATACTTCGGCTTTGCCTATATCTTGCGGTTTCGGGGTCACGACTTTGGGGACAGTTTAGAGTCTGTGTTAGGGTAAGGGGCTCCCAGGCGGTCCAGGATCTGGCTTGAAGTTGCGGTGTTGACGGGCCGGTTTCTCCCAGGTTTGGGGCTTTTCTGTACCATAGTATTTCTTATGGTATGCTTCTAGTTCCTTATTTATGGTGCCCGCAAAAGCTGGGAGTCCGGTATTTTCGGTACGTGGATCTTATGTGTTGTAATTTGAAGGGATGTCCGTGGGTGTTCCTTTTCTGCGGAATTCTCAGCTCGTGTTCTTGATGCTTGCTAGGTTCCAAGTGGTCGATCTTGCGCAGTCGCAGTCGTGGTCGTGGTCCGCGGACATAGCAGAAGGAGTAGGCGAGGAGCAGGGCGAATTCGATGCCTCCAACCCCAGCTTTGGCCGACACAGTCGTCAAAGCCTTGTCCTGCTACGAGCCGACGCTGATCCCAAGTGCCCCAACCTCGCCCATGCAAGATTGGTTCATCGCATGGGTGACATCGCAAACCCGACGAACGCAATCATTTCCCGATCTCTGCCCAAACCCTAAACCCGAGACCCTAAACCCTGAACCCAAGCCCCAAACACCCACCTTTTTTCCAGGAGTTGTCCAGCGTTGACTCCTGGCCTTGGCATTCTCCTCGGCGGGTCTTCGTCCTGCCCTGCGGAACTCAGGCTTCCTGGGAACAAGGCTTTTCGGGTGGGTTTGTTGTTGTTTGTCGCGTGTGGGCAGGCTGAGGCCGGGGATGCTTGGGCATGTGATGTTGGCTGTGCCCGAGTGTTCAAAGTAGGCTGCAATCGGATGTTTGGGGCCTCGGAATCGGGAAGGCGTTCAGAGGAAGCTTCACTTGTTCAGTTCCGCACAGTCCTGCTGCCAGTTCTCTGAATCTTCATGTCACAACTCGGATTGGGTCCGACTCTGGGCCTCCGATTTTGGTAAGACTTGCCTCTGCATGCCTCTCCGACGCGTGGGATCGGTTTTCCACTTCACGCGGCTGTCCTTTACCAAAATACCCAGAACTGAGCTAGTCATGCATAGTCGTGCAAGTCAACAAAGGCAGGCAAAGCGTCCAAAGACAGTGGTTTGGTCTCAGCCTGTTGTATTGATGTGAGGTGTCAGATTTCTGACGACAGGTCGGCTAGGGAAGCGAGAGACCTGTGCCGGCAGGTCTCGACGAAGGCGTGGCTGGAGGCTCCCTGCCAGCCGGACGAACCTGCAGCTGCTGCGCCAACATCGTGCCATATGACACCTACTGCACTGTCTTGTTGTTGCACGCGATCTTACCTTCCGACATGGTGCGTTGATGTAGGCCCAAGTTTGGAAGAATAGTGTGAACAAGTGTATCCGAAACATGCTGGCCCTTCAACATCGAGCTTCAGCAGCTTCAAAGCTTCAGCAACCCGAAACCCTCCCGAAACCCCCGACGGCCAGGCTTGTGGCTCGCTCAGAGGGGTCGAGATCATTCGCGGAGGGGGTGCCCGGCTGTTTGCCGACACCCCCGAGTTGGTGCCTGAGGCAGCTCGGAGGAGAGGTGTAAGGCTTATGCTCTTTGCATCCTTGTCTGGTAGACCTTCCGGTCTGGCATAGCATCTGCGGTGGGTTGCAGACTCTCGAATGTAGCCAGCGGGCAGCGACCAGTGAAGTGGTGCAGCGCGAGGTGCTACAGCAGCTTGGGTACTATGGGGACGAGATGAACGAGGCATCAGTGCCGCCCTTCGCGGAGGGTTCTTTCAGAGGCTTCATAGAGCTGCAGGTTATGCATTCGCAGGATCTGAGCGAGGCGATCGATGTCTTCGTGGACATGCCGCCTGCATGCCTCAAGTCCTTTTGGTTCTTGTGTTAGGCGCTTTGATGATATTTTTCAGCGGCACGCGTGCCAGCTCTATGTTGCGCCTCCGACAGGAAAGGCAACAGCAAAGCCCTGGCTGCCATCAGCATTTTCATCCAGCCGGACCACCCGGCAGCAGCCTCATTGTATTGCCAGTCATGGCGTGGCCAGGCTCAGCCATCTCAGCATTCACGAACCCCTTGGTGGTCTGGAAGCTTCAATTCACCATCCGAGTCCAAGGTCCACACAAAGAGTGCTCTCCTACACGCTGCGCTGGTATCTCCAAAGCTGCACGGGGAGTGGCAGCTGGCGCCCAGTGATGGCCGCATAGCTGCACCTCTGCAGGGCAGATGTGATCGTTGTGCTTCTTCAGCTTTGACTTTGGAAAGCTGCAGCTAAAGCCGAAGCCCGATAGTCTCGCAGCTCCATCCGCGTTCGGACTTGTCCTCATCGCCAGACCTCGTGCGCGGTCACCTCCTGGCGCATGGTTGGCTCCGTTGCTCGGCATTAATTCAGCATACAAGTCTTTCGCTTTGCTGCGTGATCCTTATGAGCATCTAACGCGAGTCTCTGGAATGCTGGCTGTGTGGACACCCTGAGTTGTCTCCTTCCGTCGTTCGAAAAGCAGGCCGGCGCTCTGCGCCTCGCCTTGATGTCTTCACAGCACTTTGCCGATTCAGCGAAGCGAACGGACTCCCGCTGCGAAGGACCAACAGCCCGTCGAAGTCAATTTTTCAGTCGGTCTTTTACAATGTAGTTCCGGCAGACCAATAAAGAAGTTGCTCATGGCATCCTTGCCTTCTTTCAGGACTTACAACGGCGCTGTGAAGGAGTTCTCAAATCATTTGACCAAGGTAGATCCAAGCCGCCGTGACGGAGCAAAACATCGAGATGCCTGGAGTCTGTGAACTAAGATCAGACTTCCTGCCTCAACGCTCCCACGCCGCCTTTTTGTTCATGGCAGTGTTCTTCAGATCCTGATCTTCCCCAAACCATCTTGGACAGCCACCCGCCCCATGCCATTTCGGTCGGGCTCCCAACTACTCCCAACCTTGATCAGACCTCCCTCGCAGTCCTCCGCCATGGCCACGTCTGAGCCGCTACTCCACTGCGATGCCGAGCATACTCGGCCTCTGGTGGAGGGGCACCTGCAGAGGTGGGGACCCTGGTTGTAGAGTCCCAAGCTGACATGTTCGATGCATCCGCCTTGGGAGGTGCAGGCGTGTGAGCCTCGTGCTCGCCACGGGGCTTCTGGCTGGGCCCGGCATCTTTCTGAGCCTGCGAGGTCCTGAGGCCTGCAGGGGCCGATGCCGCGAAAGCTGAAGCCGGTTTTTTTTTTCTGGGAGCTGGCTTCACAGGGGCTGATGACATGTTCGGTGCGTTGAGTGGGTTTCTGCGAGTTTGGGTGTGTGTCTCAGCGATTTTGGCTTGCTGGTAGCCGGTAAGTATTCGAGCCTCATGCTGCGGCACCTCTCATGCTAGCACTGGAGCCCTCGTAAGTCCCTCGTGGGGTTTTGGGAGGAGCAACCCCCGCGCACAAGGCTTTAGATTCATTGCTGCAGCTTTCTTCTAGCATCCTTCCCTCAAAGTATGGGGTTGAGTGTTTCAGGTTCAGGCTCTCGATTTCAAGGCTGAGTGTTTCACATGCTTTAGGCTTTCCGCAGAAATAGGTGCCTGGTCCCTTCAGGCTGTGGACGAGGCAGCGCCAACTGTGGCACTGGCGGATTCCGATTCCAGGCCTGCCCGATTCTGCTCTGCCCGCGCTCTGCCACGGAAGCCCCAAACCCTAAACCCCGCTGAGCTGCGAGACTCTGCGAGCAAAGGCCTTCCATCGTTCGCCTCAAGATCTTCGGCGGCCTCCTCCTCAGAGCGCAGCGAGCTTCGTGCGAGGGTTATGATCTTGTCACACTGAAGCATGCCTTGCTGACTGAGAAAGGGGTCTGGTTATGACGAACCATTTTCTTTTGAAGTCATAGTCTCTATCCTTTTCATCTCCGTAGTACATTATACTTCTTCTACAGGTGATAAGGCTTCAGCGGACACACCCTCCCCAAAGCCCTATTCTGGTTGACATGTGGTCTTGAGGTCCAGAGCCGCCTCCCAGAGTCTTGGACTGGGTGCCCCGGGTCTGCACACATCTCTACGAGGGGCCGCAGTGCTCCAACGTGACACACTGGAAAGGAAGGGTACGGCTGGAACTTGACAATCACGTCATCGAGGATGTGCAGATGCATTCCCGGGGGCATTCCTCGGCGATGTTTCCGAAGCATCAGTTCTCTCTGAAGCTGCCAAAGCGGATGCCTCTTTTGGGCATGGCACCGGCCAGACGCTGGGTGTTGGCCACCTCCTTCGTGGACGTGTCCTTCCAGCGGAATCCAACAGCGTTCGAGGTGTACCGGAAGCTGGGTGGGTGGGCCCCAGATACCGTGTATGTGAAGGTGGAGTGGCACGGCTCCATGCCCCAGTTTGGCAGGCTTGTTTCTGAGAGCACCAGAACCCATTTCCTGGGAGCTGGTAGAGAGTAGCAGAAGCTATCAGAAGCTTCGATATCGGGTTCGAAAGGGTCGGATGCCATTTCAAAGAGTCCAAACTCAGCGTGAAGACCAGCTGCCGCCAGCCCAGGAATCGATTACGGACTCTACTACATCGGCGAGCGCGTGGAGTGTGGGGGTGGCCGACTGGATCCTCTTTCCGCTTAAAGAACCCATTTTTCCCCCTTCATGTGCTTTAGCCTGTGGTTGTTGTCGTTTCTTGCGGGTGAAGCGCCTCGCATGATTGTGCACCTGACGACTGCTAGCGTCTCTGCAGGGTCCCACGTGTCCACGTGTTCGTGTTTGCTCGAACAATCGAATAATGCACCGCACCTTGAGCTCGAGTTTATGTCTTTGAAAAACGCTGGGCGTTTTATGGACCTAAACCCCTAGCTCTCTTAAAGCCTAAGCCCTAAACTCTGAAGCCTAAACCCGGACTACACACTACACGTACACCCTTGAACCCTAAACGCCCTAAGCGCTAAGCCATGAGCTACACCGAGGATTCCTGTCACACGCGGCCGGATCAGCCCGAGGCTTCGGATTTCCTGCTGACAATCGACTGGGCAAAGCCGGGCAAGGCAGACGGCATTGGGCAAAAAGAAGCCAAAGACCAAGAGGAGTTTAGGTTTCAGGATTTCAGGGGTTAGGAAGTTAGGACTGTTTGCAGGCTTCCTCCCCCTCTTTGTTTTCACAGTGTCTCGCCTAATCAGAGTTTGCATGGAGGAAGCCGGTAGCACAAACTTGAAAGTCCGGTGCTCAAGGTGTCACTGCGAAGCAACGTGACCTCCACCTTCTTCAGTGTGCTCGAGCCGAAGGGCGCCCTTCCCAGCAGCAGCGTGGCCTTCCTCCAGAAGCTCGTCGATTCTGTAGACAGCCTGGCGGCCTCCGGCAAGAGGGGGTTGGCCGAACTCCTCGACTTTCAAAGCTTTGTACGTTACCTCTTGGTAGAGGAGCTGGCCAAGGACGTCGACGGCTACGCATTCTCGAACCTTGGGACTGCCTTCTGTGTATCGCAGTTTCATCTTCGCTTTGCTCTCGCCCTGCCTCCTTTTGTTCTGCTACCGAGTAGCAGTAGTAGTTGATTGCCATAGTACAGCTGTTGTCACCTGCTCATAGCTTTCAGGAATTACGTGATGGCCCGACAGGGGTGGCTGCTGCACGCTGCTCCCTGGGACTTCGACCTGGCTTTCGACTTTGCTTGCATGCCGCGATACTTCACGAACGTCTTCACCGGAAATGTCTCCTTAGGGGTGCTCCTCGGATCGCACAGGGTCATCTTGGGAGTCAGGGCTCGGTCCCTATATTGAATTCTATACACCGCCAGAAAACCCTGTAAGCACACTTGAAAACAGTATACTTGCGAAGCCGTATACGCCTTCCTGGCCCCCCTTTCAAAGGACCGGCTGGAACGTTGAGAACTCCCGCGCCGATGCTCTGTGGATCGGACCTTCTGGAATCCCCGGAGGGAGCGCAGCCAGACTCTCCTAGTTGTAGGGAGGTTTATAGGCGTTTAGGGTTCAGGGTTCCGGAGGTTTTGGGGTTCAGGGTTTCAGAGTTTGTGGGTTCACGATTTCAGAGTTTTAGGGTCCAGGGTTTCAGAGTTTCAGGTTTTGGGGGGTCTGTTGGAGAAGTTGTTCCTTCAGGTACTTCAGGAATTGGCTTAGATTACGGAGTTCAGGACCCAGAGTCTCGAGCCTTTGAACCGAACCCTTGAGACACGTTCTCTTGCTTGCTAGGGGTCTCCTTGTTGTTCCACGGTGCAGGGTAGGGAATACCTCAGGCCTCAGAATCCTACTGAAATTATTGCCGCTCTCGTAATAGGTGCTTGAAGCTGTGCCAACGAAACCCTTAAGCTTCTTCTAACCTACACCTTACGTGCAGTCCAAGTACCGCGGTGCTGACCACTGAAAGGTGAAAGAGCCCACAGATCAAATTGGAATCAGAAGCGTCAGGGACGGGGCTTCCGGGCTTCGTGGCTCCTGGGATTTGTAGGTGAGGGGCTTCGGAGCTTCACGGAGCAGGTACTGTAAGGATTGAATGCTTTCTAGACTTTCGTGGTTTGTGGGCGTGTTTTGGGAATCAGTGTGCTCAGAGTTCTCAAGACCCTTCGAGCTCAGGTGGAGCGTTTCGGCATGAACAAGCGCCAGCTCTTCCTCAATCTTTGGCTCTATCCGGGGTTCAAGGCCTAAACGCTGAGCAAGCGCCGTTAACTTGAGACGATCGGGGACTTCAGGAATGGCGTAACACCAAGCGAGAGACTTCAGAATCGAGGACTTCAGTGCCCAGTTTCAAGATAGTTTCTAGGTAATCGTGCCGTTTTCCCTGCCATGAGCTCCCGGGGATAAAGGGCGGGTTTTGCTTCCACTTCCGTCTAAGTTTTCTCAGCAAGGCAAGCCAGGATCCGAGCAGAGGTGCAGCTACGTATCAAGGAGGCGAAGTATTAGGGGGGGTAGCAACTAAGCCCTGAAATGCTCAGTGTCAAGATGACATTCAGGGAGCCAGTTTGGTTTCGAAGACACAGAGGATGTGAGCTCTTAGCAGGCCGCCTTCGTCGGCGCTTGGAAAGCTGCTCGTGGGCGCATGCTGGGAGATGCCATGCTGGAGGCTATGGTGAGGCAACGTGGGTTCAGATGGGTTCGATGCTTTCAAAACAAGGTGCGATGGTGCCCAGATCAGACATCCGTCCCTCTGTCCCTCGAAGCCGACATCGTTGCCTGCCTAACCTTACACCCATTAAGGTCTTGTGGACTGTGTAGCTTGAACATGTTGTGCGACACACTGGTGGCTGCAGGAGGAGAAGTAAGCAGATCGCTTCAGCTGCCAAAAATGATCTCGAGATCTGGCGCAGCACCCTGGCATAGATCAGATTGGGACCCAAGCACACGTTCTCCACACCATGCATCTCCAACCTGCGTTTGCAAGCGGCATTCTGTTTGTTTCCATAAAGTCACACTCAGGAACCAACAGATGTGGCTTCTGGCGCTGCTGTGCGCCTGAGGATACACATAGCTTCGACAAAGCTTCTGAGCACCTGTCTGAATACCTCGTGTCGCGCGCTCGCTGGATTGATGCGAACGTGGACACCCTGCTGCAGTGACGCTTTGGCTTGCTCCAAGTTGGGTCTGTGGCCGTGTCTTCCATGGGGAGCTTCTCAGCACATGTTGTGCTTGAGCTGCTTGGGTCGCTAGACTCTCCCCCAAAGCACTGGAAGGCACTGGCTGCCAGATCGGCAAGCAGCCGATGGTTTCCCCGCGTCACAAAGTCACTTGTACTCCACCGCCACCGCTATGTTCGGTGTTATGTCTTCTGCTACTAAAGAAATCAATCGTCGATGGTTACTTTTGTGACGTGACGGTGTTGTTAAAACTTACTACTCTACCGGCCCGAATTCTAGCAGCAGTATTAGCAAGGGTTCCCTGCTACAGCCACCATACTACTGTCTACCCCAGACCCCAAATCCCTGTCCTTATTGTTAGCCCACTAGACTACACCTTTTCAACCCCCAATCGACAACTTCCTATTCTGTTTACTGAGGCCCCAAACCCTAAACCCTAAACCCTCAAGCCTAAACCCTAATCCGTAAGCCCCAAACCCTAAACCCTGAAGCCTAAACCCTAAACCGTAAGCCCTAAATCCTAAACCCTGAACCCTAAACCCAACAGCCTGAGCCATATGGCTCCGGTGATGTACAAAAGAGCCGGACGAGCCTGGCCGAAGGTTGATGCAGCGAAGCTAATGGAACAAAAGAGCACTGTGCCGTTATATGGTCTCGCAGTATACTGTGTATAAATGTATACATGTATATTCATATTCTGTAGAGATAGATATAGATATGGGAAAGATATGGACTTGTTCTCGTGCATGCGGCTGTGAGCCTGTTAGGCAGAACCAGTGGCAGTAGCAAAGTACATGAGAAGTCGTCATGAAAGATGGGTCGCATGTTTGTCCTGAAACTCCCACCTTGATGCAAGGTGGGTGCGATGCCCGGCAAGCTGATCCAGCAGCCTCCCCAGCTGTCACTAGAGCTCGAGTTGCTTTTTGGGACGCTCCCAGGTTGCCGTACGAAGCGCTCCCTCAACTGCCCTGCGAGACTTGAGGTGCCTCAAGAGCGTGGCGTGCTCTAATCCGGTTGTGCTCATCGATGAGATCGACAAGCTTGGTGAGTTTCCCAGATCTGACTTTGCTGCCCTGATGCCATCTGAGGCGCAAGTCCAAGGGGACTGCGACGACTGCTGCCATGACAACTTCGTAGGAGATGTGAATAGAGTACAGTAGTAGAATATAGTAGAATACACCAGAATCTAACATACGACACCATGGTGTAGTATAGTATAGTATAGTGATAGTGCATTGCAGCATAGTATAGTACAGTATAGTACTGTACAGTATAGCATAGTCTAGTGCAGAACCATGAAGTAGAATTATTACTAAAACTTAACCGAATGAAGAAGATAGTACACTAGTGCAGTTTTTTTGTTATCTTATTATCTCATCTAATCTCATCTCTTATATTTCTTACCTGTCTTATCTTATAGTAACTTATCTCGTCATAATCTTCTTTTGTCTTATCTTATACTAGATGCCAAGATAGCACATGCTACTACATTAATGCGCGAGGATATGCCACATCACACTATGTCATGGTATGCATGTGTATGTGTGTATCTGTGTACGTATGTATGTATGTATGTATGTATGTATGTGTATCTATATATCTATGTGCATATTACAACACACGACGCTTTGTTATGCTGTGTTATAGGAGCACCAACCGCAGCTGCCTGCACGCACGCGCACACACACACACATTTAGCCAGCCTCGTGGTGTGCTGCTAGAATCCTCGGAGTCTGACCCCCTTGAACCCTACCGCCCAAAGCCCTTAACAGCCTTCTCAGCCCTAGACCCTTAAAGGTGCCACAGTGTTTCGGCTGAGGGAGATCCTAAAGCCCGCAATAAGCCTTGACACCCCGAACCCTGACAAGCCCTAAACCCTAAACTCCAAGGCCGAGACATGCGGGGTGATCCGTCCTCGGTGGGAGCCCCAAAAAGGTGCAGGGAGGTTTCATGGGTACTTCGCACGGTAGAGTGAGGTAGCCAAAACGATTTTCGAGTCAGAAATGAGGTAACCAGAAGGTTTGCTAGAGTTATGAGGTATCCAGAAGTTAAGAGTAGAAGTGAGGTAGCCAAAACAAGAGTGAGAAGTTAGGTAACCAGGACGTTTATAGGGTCTAGTGTATAGTTAAGGTTTCTCCGATGCCCTTTGTTTTTCAAACTCATGCTGGGCTATTCTCATCCTTTCAAGCGGGACGAAAGCATGCTACAAAGTGCTCCAACAGTATGAGCAAAAGCGTTCCTGCTGCCTCCTCCAGGGGGAAATTTGAAATGCATTTCTCCAGGCACTACTGGAAGTGTTGGATCCGGAGCAGAACAACAGCTTCCGCGACCACTATCTCGATGCGCCCTGGATTCATCATGATGAAGTGCAGGTTCTCGCAAGCTGAGCAGGTCTCAGAATTCCTGTTAGGGGAGCTTTCTTTCGGTGGCAAGGTGCCGGTGGACCTCTCCAACATCCTCTTCCTGAGCACGGCGAACGTCCTGGAGACCATCCCAACGCCACTCTTAGCCCTGGGCTCAGCAGTCTCAGTTTCTGGCTCACGGAAGTGCAATCAACAGCCGTGCTGCTCTAGGGAGGGCAGGTCGGAGTCTTGGTGGTCTTGTGGCCGTTATCGATGCACAAGCAATGGTCATCGCAGGGGTGGAGGGCATGAGTAACAGTAGGACCTAAGTAGGAGTCGTCCACGTTTTCGTCGACATCGTCATAGGAAGGGCAGAAATGGTGGGCGTCTCTGGGGGTACTGGTAGTGCATTGTCGGATGTGTGTCGTCTTGGTCCCGCACGGGTCGTTTCGCAGTGGCAACGGTGGCGGTAGCGGAACTTCAGCAAAATTGTGTGAGGCCGTGTGCAACAGGCGCCTCCTCAACTATTTTGCAACTGCCGCTGCCACGAAATACCTCTACGCCACCGTCACGCAATGCCACCCCTTCTGCAGCCTCATCCACTACGATCATCACCACCAGCAGTGCTTAATCGAAATTGCACACGTCTGTGCGGGCGACCTCCCGCCGCAGTGGGTTCGCCGCTTCGCAAGGTTGGGGTTGCAGGCTGATGGCATGTCTCAAACAGCACTTTGGCGATGACTCGCCCGTGGCTCTCGCATCTTGCAGCAAGATGCGGCCGTCGCTGAAGTGCTGTTTCAGAGATCCGTCAGCTTGATTGCTGGGGAGGCGCGTGCTCCGAGAAGTATGATTTTGAGTTTACAAAGTCGGCCAATACTAGGGCAGAGCCAGATTCATCAGCTGGACGGAGCTGCATGCAAACATATGATGGGCTTGACACACCGGTTGCAAGCTGCATGTGTGGCTGATGAGTGTAATTGCTGCATGCTCAAACAAAGCATTGGCTTCAAATTGCGGTGTGCGCACACAGTGAATCTCGCATCGTAAAGGATCGGATGGAAGTCATTCGAATTGCCGGCTACGTGTTTGAGGAGAAGCTCGTGATTGCCAACAAGTGACCTACCCCAATGCGCACTGTTACTGGCGGGTCAGTGGTTTAGCTCCCCTGCCTGACGTGGCCGCCAAAACTTGAACCCATCAGGTACTTGATCCCCCAGACGGAGGCGGGAGACCAGGTTTCACCGTACGTTTTTGGCATTGATGTTGCCTTGAAATTCGGAATGTCGCGAGGGAAGCAGGCTCGGGTCCTGGTGTTAAGAAACGACTCGTGCTAGAATATAAGAATGAAGTCGCTCTTTACCGATAGATAGGTCGATAGATCTACAGCAGCCGGTCATGCTTGAATGTACTCACTGTGTGATGAGAGGTTGTACAGTTGTACTGCACACATTCGTGGAGAAGTGCTTACATTTCTCTTTGCGCAACGGCCCTCTGTCAGCACATCATCAAAACCCCAAAGGCTCCAGCATCGGGACTCGTGCATGGCATGGCCCAGTGGAGCACCAGAATCCCCAACCTCCTGCGCGAATGGATCCATAGCCTGACATCCGAAACCCGATCGTTGCAAGACGCTTGTCGACTGGACAAAACCATGCAAGGCCCGAATGTCCTGCACAGGAGCAGAGCGGTGTCGGTACGGAGCGGATCCAAATGCAGGCAACACCGAAGTTTTGAGCTACTGCTTGCGCAGAGCCGAGTGTGGCAACGATTCAGGTCTCAGCTGTAGGCGTCTTGAGACTAGAGGATACAAGAACTACCAGAAGCTAGGAAAATACTTACGCTCATGGGATCTCCCTCCGTGCATGCGTGTCCGGCTATATGGATCGCGGAATATACGCAAGTGTATGTATCCATGAGTACCCATGTTCATATAGTGCAGTCATCCTCCGTGCCAGGTCTGACAGGTCATGTGTACACTATCGTAATTTCCTTCTTGTTTGTTCACATGCTCAGTTAAGAACGGTTTGTATTTCTACATCGACATATTTAATATCTGCCCCAGCATACCCATCTGTCTGAGTCTACACAGCATACTCTACAGATAAGCAGATGAATCGTCAGACAGGTAGGTAGGCAGGTATGCAGGCAAGCAGGTGGTATTTACGTAGGCAAAGGCTATGTGTGTCAACAGATGTGGTATACACCTAAAGTGGTATTTATTTGGGAGACGGCTAGATGTGTCATCTAATCTGGGGTGCAGGTTCGGTAATCACTCATTGCACGTTTGTTTGTTCATGTGTGTCTCAACTTACACATCTGCATTTGCAGATGTATGCACAATTGCATGCACATTGTTCCCGTGTTAGCTAAAGGGTTTTGTGTGTGTGTGTGCATGCATGTGTGTGTGTGTGAGTGTGTGTGAGAGTGTGTGTGTGTGTGTGTTTGGGTGAACAGGTAAGCTGCAAGCTCACGTGTTTTTTTTCCTTGTTCTCTCTGTCCAGCTCTCTCTCTCTCTCTGTCTCTCTGTCTCTGTCGGTGTGTGTTTGTGTGTAATTCAAAGAGGCAGCTAGGCAAGTATGTACGTATGTATGCCAATGCGCGAATTTACGAAAGTCTGAAAGCATGGCTGTATGAGTGAGTAAATCATGGACGAACGAGCGAATGAACGAACAAATTAATGAATTAACAACCGGATGAATGAATGAATGAATGAATGAATGAAAGGCTGAACGACTGAATAATGCAATGATGATACAAGGAAGAACGACACAAGTAATGAATGCACAGAATGGATGAATCAATCATGTATGACTTGCCTTGCTGACGGATGCACGGACGGACGGACTCACTCACTGAAATGACATGACCTGAGAAATGAAACAATATGAGATGACATGAAGGAAATGAAAGACATGAACGAGATGAATGGACATAAAGAAAGACTGAATGAGTGCATGAACGCATGAATGAATGAATGGATGCATGGATGAAGGAAGGAAGGAAGGAAGGAAGGAAGGAAGGAAGGAAGGAAGGAAGGAAGGAAGGAATGAACGAATGAATTAACGAACGGAAGGAGCGAATGAACGAACAAAGGAGTGACTGACTGATTGACTAACTGGCTGACGGGCTGACAGATAGACAGATAAACAGGCAGACAGAGACAGACAGACGGCAGACAGACAGACTGACTGACTAACTGAAACTGCCTCCACGAGTTTATCAACTATGTTCAAGGAGTGAACGATTAAACATTGATGAGCTCATCAATCGGCAGAAATTTTGATGGGTGCTTAGGCAAGCAGTCAGGCCGGCCGCCTGATCGAAAGATAGACAGATTCAGATAGACAGGTAGATAGATGGTTACATTGACAGGTAGCTAAGTAGACGGATAGATGGATGAATGGATAACTGGAAGGATTGTTCGACGGAGGGACGGATGTAGGATGGACTGGGTCCATAAGATGTAGATGTGACTTGTCGGTTGGCCTTGGTGCGGTACATGGTCAGGAGGATGCTCTCCACAAGATGATCAAGGACTACGCCCGTGAGGCTGCAGCAAAGGATGTCCGGAGTCTTCCGAAGCTCTTCCCGGTTTAATAACACGGCAAGGTCATGTACTTGCGACAACTGTGGAACCAGCACAGGGAGCTGCACGCACCGGTTTACCTGCTGCTCTTGGTGAGTGATGCTTCCAGAGGCTGGCGTGCGCAACTTGCGACAGCTGCTGGAAAAGGTCAGCCGCAAGGCGACACGGCCGCCGATCTCGGGGTAACCTTGAGGGCATGTGTGTTGAGGGGCTGACAAAGAACGGAAGGGCGACTTTCAACTGGTGACCTGTCGGATTTTTGGAGCACCCTGGCGCCCTCAAATCGTCGCCTGTGTAGAGACGGTGTCATCAACAAAACCATGCATGTGTGCCTGTAAACACGAAAGGAAGAGCCACAGTGGCAGGGCTTGTGTTGGACAATGGCCCGACCCAGGTGGCGCTTGACCTCGTAAGGCAGCAGAAGGCCAGGCCTCCTTGTCTGCGCACGATGGCACGGCAGTGATGATGTGGGCGTGGTGAGCCGCGTCGTCGCTTTTTCAGGAGGATAGGGATGACATGCTTCTGACCGGGTCCTTCCGGATTGCATCAACCCTCCCGCCCTCCACACCCTTGAGCCGTCTCCTGGACCCTCGCGCCCTGCACGATCGCGCCCTTCTAAGGCGAACCCCTCCAACGAGCAGGCCAGGATTTGTATCGGGGTTCTTGTGGGCTTCTTCACAAGCTCGCGGACAAAACTCAGGAGTTCTCAAGTTCTCGGTTCGGTTGGGCTCCAGTACTTCCCGGCGGGAACTTGAACCGAAGCCTCGACACCAAGCTCTGAAGGCCAAACAGTTCGCCCTCCTCAGGGTTTCGTGCTTTAGGGGTTTATTGCGAGTTTAGGGTTTAGGGGTTGAGACGACAAAGCTCGTAATCGCGATTCTTTGCCGATCAGGGCCCCGCCGTCATCGACACGGAGAACCTGACCCGATACATTGGACAGCCGTGTGGCCCTTTGGGTTCCGGGTGCAAGATCGCTTTCAGGGCGCGCTTAGGTTCTTGTGTCCTGTCTTTAGGTTTTAGGCTGGGTTGGGGTTCAGTGTTCTCCGATGTGCAGCGATTCAAGTCTTCGAGGGGACATGGAGCTGGTCTGGTTTCCGGTTCACTTGCCGGGTCTCAGACGGGGTTTGTTCATGTCGATGCTCACATGACATGGAGGAAGATTGTCTTTTGGCTTGAGCCGCAGTGCCAGGTTCTCTGCTTAACCATGTCGTTGCAGATCTGCCATCTAGGCATCCCCTCGGATTATGTCCGTCTTGGAGTCTCCCGTCCAACTAGCCCGATAGTGTGCTGGAAGCCAGTGAACAAGGGCCCGTGCTACCCCTCAAACCCTAAGCCCATTTTCTGCGAGCCGCGCCATTCTGTGCACTTGGACGACATGGAGAGCGGCAGAGCCCTTGCCTCGGTAGAATCCTGTCGTTCTCACTTCTCAACGGGTGAGTTAGCATGTTAGAGCGGGTGAGCGGGTGTTTATGACAGAGTGGATGCGCTTGCTCCAGGGATAGCTCACGGTTCTCTATGCTGAATCCTTGTTCTTGTTGAGTTGCCAAGGCTGTCTTGAAAAAGAGTATGCCATCTAGGATCCTTCCGAGACGCTTTTTGACATGGTCTGGCAGATCTGGGCCACCATCGTGCTCATCCTTCTGGATGTCACTAGCGTAGTCTCGCTCTTCGTGGCTGCGACACGGCCTTTCAGCATCGGAGCTGCAGAAGGATTTGGGAGTTTCCGAAAACAAGGGGTACCCTTATTCTAGGGTCCTTATAATAAGGATCCTACTACTTAGGGTACTATATTAGGATCCCCTATTTTCGGAAACCCCCATTTGGTTTGGCTCCAGCAGGCTGAGGCGACCAAGCATAGAATTAAGAGTAAGGTCATGCATATGCACGAAGAGCTCCATGGTGATGACCCCGTTGGTTTTGTGACTGTCTTTCGCTTGTCATCAAAGCATGCCTGAACCATGACAACAGGCACTGGTTTTCCTATTTTCGTCCGGTTGGAGGTCTTCAGGGACGGGGTTCGGGAAGCCTAGATCTACTCCTATGTGGTGCCGCCCAGCCCGAAAGACCCTGGCACGAAGATGGGCAATTTGCAGTTCGGCTTTCAGGCAACCGCCTCGTGGACCTGATCCTCCTGGGCGGAAGGGTCTTGGGAGGCAGTTTCCTTTCCACGGCCCCTTGGCTTATGTGGAGGTGCAGAGTGGGTTTTGGATCTTGGGTATCTTGATGTTTCGGGGTTCTCGGGTTACACGGAGGAAAGGGATTGGACAGGCTTCAACACTTCGCCCCAACATCAGATGTTTGTTGGGTGGGACGAATCAGGTAACTTTGAAGCTCTTCCTCTCACAACCCCAGTCGAGGTTTGTAGTTAATATAGCGTCAGGGCACATAAAGTGCAGCGAACATCTCACAGTGGCTTCGAAGGCGATTCGTCTTTGCTCCTCACATACACTTCCTGAGAAGTCGGCCCCTCTGCCTGCTTGCGCAGTTCGCTGTGCGGCTGGCCTTGGGACACTGGCCTTGGACAAGCGGCAATGGCCATGACCTCGGGGAGGTACGAGGGTAAAGGGTTCACTGCTTGAAGCTTCACTCTCGCAATTGTGAGCGTCATCGTCCCGGATAGATAGACCAGCCGGAGGACCTGCATTTCATAGGTTGCTGTGAGATTGTTCCCCACGATTTGCCAGACCGTTGCCGACACAACCAAGTCTTCGGATGTTTGCCGGTCTGTGTCCTGTATCCAGCATGCCAAGCATGTGGGAATGTATAGAGACTCACAAAACGCTTCTGCCCCAAACCCGACATCCTTGATGATGATGGCGGAGGTGCAGCGCGAGCTCACCCGGGCCATATCGGGTGCCTTGCAAGCAGCAGGCCTCTCTTGACTGAAATCCTCGCATCACTTCAAAACAGTCAGAAACGGGCTCATGCTATTCAGAAAGTTCATTTCTCCTATGCCATCAATCCTGGAAAAAGTAGACAAGTGCTGCTACTGCTGCGCTGGCAGCAATGTGTTGTTAGCAGTGCCCACACGACTATCTTAGCATGAGTACTGCTCTTTTTTGCCGTGTTCATAATTCAGTAGTCATGCTGATTGACACATGAGTACTTCAAACATTACTTCCACTGTGATGGTGCCAGCCAACGCCTGTGGCAATTACTTTTTTTTGTCGTTACCCCCAGCAGATGTTAACAATATCTGCAACATGGCGGCCCAAGACAACTACTTCTGACCAGTCTGACTGGTGTTACTTGGAGGTTCATGGGTAGGTTACAGGTCCCCTCATATGGGTTGTAATTATAGTTAACCTCCTTCTAGTGTCGTTGCTGGTTCCATCACAACCCCGTAGCCCTGATTTCGACCTGAACCCGCACCCGAAGCCCTGAAAGCCTGTGACCGCGGCGCCTCACCGCCTGAAGCCCTCAAGCCGAAAGAATTGGAGCCCAGTCTACTATAATACATCAGAATATACCATATATATATATATGTATACAAATACACGTATATACATATATGTATATACATATATGTATATATATATATATGTATGTATATATATATACATATATATATATGTATGTATGTATATATATACATATGTATGTATATATATAGATGTATATATATATATATGTATATGTATATGTATATGTGTATATATATATAATGATGTATGTATGTATGTGTGTATGTATGTATGTATGTATGTATGTATGTATCCTTCAAACTCAAAGAACTGGAGCCCAGGTGAAGAGCCGCCCCAGGCGCGGCAAGCGCCACTCCTGGCCTCCAGCTTTTCCAGCGGCGGTGGCGATGCCGGGAAGCCCAGGGACCCGGGCCTAGGAGCCTGAATAAGCAGCAGGCCCGTGATCCTATTCCTTCATAGGTCCACTAGGGATTTTTGAGACCCTTGTTATATCCCCGTTCATCTCGAGGCCGTGGCACAGCAGCTGGACGATGCAGTGAGTTCTAGGCAGCAGGAGCTGAAGAAGCTGGAGCGAGGCCAGAACCGAACAGTGGAATGCAGGAGCCCGAGGTGCTTGGGTACTTAGAGGTTCATGGGTAGTTCTAAGTGGGGTTATAGGTAGTGCAGCTATAGTAGCCCAAATTAGAGGACTTAGAACCCCACTAAAGACTGGCTATGAACCTCCAAGTACGGAAGAGAACTAGGTGGAGAATGATTTAGGAGAGCTATTTGATTGTAAGTCTTCAAGCTCTTATATTGCAGCTGCAAGAGCCTTGCAATCCGTGGGGCGATCTGTCTCGCATGTTGCTTCTCTGATACCCTCCGTCCGTCCATGCCACTCCGAATCTGTAGGATGCCATGGCAGGTCAGAACTTTAGCAAGGCCGTGACGTACACCATTTACGTCTTCTTCGCCTTGTGCTCGATGAGGACTGCCATTGAGGCCTGCCTTGGATTGCGGCTACACTTGTGAGAGTCCTTGTTCGAACGGGTCTGGAGCCATGGGAATGTGCTTAAGCTCGAAGGTGGTCAGCCTTCCCAGTTCCGATTTCTGGAGCGGTTTCTGGATCGTCGTCCAGGCATCCTGGCTTCTCCCGTGAAGAGCTGTAAGATGCTATAGGGTTATATTATATACAGGCTACTGCAAGGGCATGACAGGGGTAGGACACGGGTGATATGATGGCGTGGCTTCTATCTTGTCGTCGTCAGGCTTGCCATGTACGATTGAATTATGGAGGTGAGTCATCAGGTGCCCAGTAGGCAACTCGCATCTCTCGATCTCTGGTGCCAGGCTCTGTTTCGAATCTCTCTTTCGGCACATGTCTTTGCATATGCTACGTTTGGTCACAGCCTTCCGACTTGTCGGAAGCGTCCTCAGAGTTCCGGGATTGATGCCACAAATTTGCATTTTTCTGCCTGCTCTAGCAAAGCTTCAGCACCCTGATCCAGGCCCAAGTCTTGCGAATGCTTGCGCTTTTGCTCTGTTGTGTGGGCCCTGCAATCAGCTTAAGGTCTGCGGCTTGCCGATCATGCAGATAGAGTTCGTGCTCATGAAAGGCGGGCGGCAGAATGCACATGTCGTACTCTGTGATTTTCAATATTCCAGGCCGCTTTAAACCTTGTGAAGAGCCCTTATGGCCCCTTACCAAGCCGCACCCGGCCATCTCAAACACCAGTCAAGCAGCGACCACAAAACGCAGGATTGGCCATCGGGGTCGGGTCTGGAGTCGGGGGGAGGGCTCGGGAGCTCTTTGGTGGAGGGGCCAGGAGTCATTTAGGCTAGTGGGCATGTCTGAAACGCTGCAAGGTATGGAGAGGGAGCAAGCACGTTCGTTGCAGTATCATCAAGTCGGGGATTGGGATGGCGGGCATGTCTGCGACTTGCGTCATGTCCTTTGCCGCATTATTGAGTGTGGCTTGTCAGACAGAGAGAGAGAGAGAGAGACATGCACACACACACACAGATATATACATCTATATACATCTATATATATATATGTATGTATGTATGTATGTATGTATGTATGTATGTATGTATGTATGTATGTATGTATATACGTACATATGTGTATATGTATATGTATATGTATATGCATATGTGTGTATATATATATTTATACACATGTATATGTATATGCATATGTATATGTATATGTAATGATTGTGCCCGGCGGTCAC